CAGTTTTACTTCTAGTTGCCGTGGAGGTATCTGCCTCTAATACCCCAGCTTCTAATCGCTTCCTCTTTTGTGAGTTAGGAAGCAGGAGAATTGTGGTTATGGATTGATGAGTCTCTTCATTTGAGGTCTTAAGATAAGAGGAGTAGAAAACTTAGGCCAGCCGCAATTTTTTAGGTCTGAGTCACATTTTTGGTTCCATGGTCACTTCTGTCTTTGCTAGATTGCTGGAAGTGTGACTTCTATGAAAATAACCTATGTGTTGCACTTCAAATATCTCTTGCAAGAATAGGAAATATAGTGGTGTATTTGATAACTATAGTAGATAAATGCACAGTACATAACTTCCAGATTACGGCTGTTAAATTTGTCAGCTTTTATTTTGCTGTATTTTCTGTCCAACATTTTTAAAAACTCTTGTTACTTCTTACAGTGTTTTAAATTGTCACAGAACTTGTAGGGGAGGGTTCTGCTTCCTAAAACTACAAAAGTAAAATAGCACACACAAATCCCCATACCATGCTTACCAAGAGCTATGATTTTTTTTTTAATTTTTTTTATTTTTTAAAGATTTTATTTATTTATTTGAGAGAGAATGAGTGAGAGAGAGCATGAGAGAGGAGAAGGTCAGAGGGAGAAGCGGACTCCCCAAGGAGCTGGGAGCCTGATGCGGGACTCAATCCTGGAAGTCCGGGATCATGACCTGAGCCGAAGGCAGTTGCTCAACCAACTGAGCCACCCAGGTGCCCTGATTTTTTTTTTTTTTTTTAAGATTTTATTTATTTGAGAGAGAGAGAGAATGAGCAGGGGGAGGGGCAGAGGCGGAGGGAGAAGCAGGCTTCCCACTGAGCAGGGAGCCCAATGTGGGGCTCAGTCCCAGTACCCCAAGATCAACGATTAACCAGCTGAGCTACCCAATGCTCCTGCTTTGATTGATTTTAATAACATTCTTTTCTAGTTTCACCTTGAGCATTGAAGAGCAAATTGTTCCAGTCACTTCTTAGAAACAGTGACAGGGCTATTCACTTCTGTGGTTGTTTTTCTACATATGTCACAATGTCTTATTAATAGTTACCATGATGTTGCCAAATGGTAGGAGGTTAGGTAGCCGCCACCTTATTTCTGCTAATACCAGAAAGAGACGGCCCTTTTTGTAATCATGTATATTCATGAGTCTTCACGTGTAGCGGTAAAGAAAGGAGGAGCTAGCGAGGCCATGTGTTTGTCTTCTGAGTGAAGACTGTTGATAGGAAAAAAAGGGGGAAAAGAAAGGAAGAAGAATATGACATTTTGCAGACTTTTGCAGTATTTGTTTCAGCAAGTAGTGTGCTTCTGTCTAGGTTTTGGCTCACAGACTGAATTAGCAGTGCACAGGCAGGCACATTTTAAGGAACACACCGGGTGTACACAGCAAGGGACTTTTAACCTCTTTCTCACTAAGAAGAAAGATGGCGGTGATTTTGGTGATTAGATACATTTCACAACAATGACTCTGTAGTGAAAGGTAGTATTACCAGTCTGAGGGAGAAGAGAAGGCTAATAATGGGGAGAATAGTGACCTCCTTGCAGGGACCTGGGAAATTGTAATTTTTGTCTTTCGTTTTTCTTTTAAAGAATAGTTATTAGAGGGGCGCCTGGGTGGCTCAGTGGGTTAAAGCCTCTGTCTTCAGCTCAGGTCATGATCCCAGGGTCCTGGGATCGAGCCCCGCATCGGGCTCTCTGCTCAGTGCAGAGCCTGCTTCTCTCTCTCTTTCTCTCTGCCTGCCTCTCTGCCTACTTGTGTTCTCTGTCAAATAAATAAATAAATAAAATCTTTAAAAAAAAAAGCAAACGAATAGTTATTAGGTATCCCACACCTGTTCTGAGAATGCTACTTCGGTACCCTTCTGAAAATGGAAAGATTTTCATCAATGAAACAGACCTGAACTGATAAGACATGCGGCTATTTTTAGATTTTATTTATGTCAGTGTGAATTTTTAACGTTTTGCTGCAGAAATATTAACATGGTTGATTATGGGATATTGCCATAGACCCTGTCAGGGATGTTATGTAAATAGGTGGTACATGTAAGGGTTACCTTTTCAGAATCCGGCCAGTTTTGAAATAAGAAACCTGTCTGACCCCCAGGTAAGGAATCATGGAGCTATATTTTATATTTGGTAGTTTATGTGGAATCTCACAGCCCTTCCCCCAGAGACTCAGGGGTGGGGTGCAGATTTTGCTGTTCTAACCAATACTGTAGGTGATTTTTCAGGATCAAAAGCTTGGAAAGTAGGACCTTTAGCTGGATTCCTGTCTGTGTATCCACTGGTTAGCAAGAATTACTTCTTAGAAATTAGTTTTCTTGCTTCTAACCTCTCCCTCCACTTCCTCAATTCTGTTTTCTGAGTGAGAGGACCATTTTTTTTTTGATCTTTTAAAAAGCTACCATCTTGAAGAGGTGGAATTTAGGAGATGTGCGTTCTGATAGTTGCTGCTTTGCCTGCCAGTAGCTGTGCAGCTATGAGCATACCACTTAGCCTCTCTGTGCCTCAGTTTCCTTCCCTGTGAATGGGAAGAAATGTCCCCAGTTGGGAATGTCTAACTAGGTATCAGATTATACCTGTATGCTCCTCTTACTCCATTACTCAAAGAATAGGAAATATTTGTATCTGTTATAAAGTATTCATATTTTCTTCTAGGGCAACCAAAATAGGAGTAAAATTAGTTTTAGGAGCATGAGGGTAAATAGCACAAGAAATAGTTAAAAGAAACAAAAATGATTGTTGGGGTGGCCTCCCATGACCAGGATAATGGCTGGTTTTTAAATAATATTTTGATAGAAATAAAAATTGTAAAAGTAGAAAATATAGATAAACAAAATGACACCAAATGGGCTAGTATTGTAGCCCCAGATGTAACCACTCAAAGATTTATGTTCTTCCAGTTTTGTATACCTTTGTTTGTTTGTTTCTTTCTTTTTTTAAGATTTCATTTATTTATTTGACAAAGAGAGGAGAGAGAGAGCGGACAAGCAGGTGGTACGGGCAGAGGGAGAGGGAGAAGCCAGTTCCATGCTGAGTAAGCAGCCCAATTCAGGGCTTGATCCCAGGACCCAGGGATCATGACCTGAGCCAAAGGCAGCCGCTTAACGACTGAGCTACCCAGGCGCCCCTATACCTTTGTTTCAAGAAAAATCTAAAGACCTAACCTCCCTCCCCTGCCAGAAGGGGCTGTTATATGAGGCGGTGGATGTGTTCCCCCTCCATGGAGGAACCCTTTTACAGGGTATACATATATCGGATCCTCATGTCTATCCTTTTTTTTTTTTTTTTTTAAAGATCCACTTATGCAGGGTGGGGAGGGAGGGGCAAAGGGAGAGGAAGAGAGAGAATCCCAAGCAGTCTCCATGCCTAGCACGGAGCCTAGTGTGGGCTCAAAACCAGGACCCTGAGATCATGACCTTAGCTGAAATCAGGAGTCAAACATTTAATCAACTGAGCCACCCAGACGCCCCCTCATGTTATACACTTGAAATATCCTACACTTTGGAGGCACCTGGCTAGCTTAGTTGGTAGAGCATGCAACTCTTGATCTCAGGGTTTTGAGTTCAAGCCCCACGTGGGGCATGTATCCTACTTCAAAAACAAAAACAAAAACCTTGCATTTGTATTTGTCAATTATATTTCAATAAGGCTGAAAAAACTTGAAAGAATAGTACACAAACACCTGTAAGCTGCCACATAGATTTAGCAGTTGTTAGCATTTTGCCATATTTGCTCCATGTGTACTTATGTGTACATGTAATTTTTTTTCTGAATCGTTTCAAATGGGTTGCAGATACGACAGTTTACCCCCAACTACTCCTGTTGGCTAACTACTGCTAGCATGCAGTATCCTACATAACCATAATACTGTTATCATACCTAAGAAAATTAACACTAATTTCCTACTATTGTTTCATGTTTGAGTTTCCCCACTTGACCCCAAAACATCTCTCTTTTTTTTTTTTTAAGTAATCCCTGCTATGGCCAGTATGGGGCTTGAACTGGTGACTCCGAGATCAGTAGTCGCTTGCTCTACCAACTAAGCCAGCCAGGCAAAATGTCTTCAATAGTTGGGATTTTTTTTTCTTATATGCATTTTGTTCTTTTGAACCAAGATCCAAAGTTTATGCATTACATTTGGTTATGTCTCTGTAGTCCTTTTTGCTCTAGAACAGTCTCCTACCTTTATTTTCATGACATTGAATTTTTGAAGACTAGAACAGTTGTCTTGCAGAATGTCCACATGCACGTATATTTTTTAAAATAACAAAAAATGAGTCCATCATCCTCTTACTCAGCCTTAGTCCAGCACGGTAAGCTCCCATTATTTCTCTCACCTGAAATGCCTTTCTGGTGTCATACCTGCTTTTTGAGGTAGAATCTTACAATTTGTCAAGTAGTAGAAATTTAGTAAGACAGAAAAGGCTGGCTTTTGAGTCCTAATTATGTGACTGACCCACTGTATGACTTTGGTGAAGCCATTTTCTCTGTCTGAGACGAAGCTTCCTCAACTGTAAGATGAGGAGGGGAGTTAAATGCCATGGAATAGCCCATTGTTGTCAAGGGATAAACACTGTAGAAAAGTAAGTCCTAGAGGAGTTGAGAAACAGTGGAAGGTATCACAGATGTGATTGAACTTAAGGTGAATTGTGGTGAAACCTAAATGAAAACATCTGTGAAGAGTTTTGAACACAAGTTATTATGTAATGGTAGCACATTGAGCGACCAAATGGGAGAATGGTTATTGGGTGATAAGGATTATTGGCTGTGCTGGATGCTGACGGTGTAATTTAAAGAATTTAATTTTTAATTTTAATTTTTTAATGTAATTTTAAAGAATGTCGTAGAACTTCAGCTGCTGTAATAGTACTACCTGAAACATTTTCTTTGTTAAACTTCTAAATCGATACTACTCTCAGTTGCTTTCTTGAGTGGGGATAATTATGGATCTCCTTTCTTCTCTTTTGTTCTTACAGCTGTATTATCAAGTCCTAAATTTTGGAATGATTGTCTCATCGGCACTAATGATCTGGAAGGGGCTAATGGTCATAACTGGAAGTGAAAGTCCAATTGTAGTGGTGCTCAGGTAACAATTTTTTTTTTCAAGGCATAGAATTGCATGGCATTACTTGAGGAAGAAAATGAGAAATTGGATAACTATTGTATTTTTTGGGAAACCATGCTTTCGGGCCTGAGAGAAAATCAATTACCATTTTTCAACTGTGAAAAATGCGCAGCCTTGTTAGTCACTTAGGATTCAGACCCCCAACAGGCTCATGACTTTTCTCCAAAACGTTTACTATGTGAGTTTTATTTTCGGCACATCTTGTAAGAAAGTGTTCCAGTGTGCTGTATTTTCCTGAGATAATTCTGTCTTCTTATATTCCTCATTTTGATACATTGGGCTGGCTGTTAGTTGTTAGTTTGCTAGATTAGGTATCATCTCGACATATTAATTAAGAGTTTTTCTACAGCATGTTCTCAGTGTCAGTAAAGAAGCATCACTAATTATTTCCAGGTTTCCTGCTGACCTTTAAATATCACTTCTAAACAGACTTCTGGAATTTTGAAGACATTAGTGCTGCCTCTTAAAGTGACAGTACTGAATCTTTGCCCACCGTACTTCCTTCTCTACCCTTGAACTCATACTCTAGTGATTTAAAAACCAGATTTAGTAACTAACTCCTTTTTGGAGAATTACCACTTGGTTGTATAATTGAATCATTATAGTTTCGTCTAATTTGGAGCTTACTTATACAAGCTATTTCAGATCTTTTCTGGAGATAGCTGTGTATAAATATAAAATAATCATTAACGTCATCTACAGCGTAGATAACAGTGCATTGCCCTTAACAAGATCAGTTTGGTTCCTTCATTGTCATCTTGGGATTTGCCTACATCGGCATCAAGTGCTTCCCCAGCAAGGCACTGGCTGTCCAGTGTCTTACTCTTACCTTACGCCTACTCTTACTCATACCTTTGTTCTGTGTTTATTAGTGAACACATCCAGCTGTGACTTGACAGATCCAAAGGCATGTATGTATTTTACAAGCTGGGAAAGCATTTAATGTACTACTCTGGGAGTACAGAGACGTGGCCCCAAGTTGCCAGACAGTTTTAAATTCAGTGGAGAGCTTTGGCTTCAAACACTGACAGGAGAAGCCAACTAATTGGCACTGTGGGGAAAAGAGAGAGCGAGGGCCCAGGGGAGGCTTCTTTTAGGGATTCTTCTGGGATTATTTCAGATTGAGTTCTCTTCAGTGGAGATGCTTAAGGACAGTCTAATAGCCTGTAAGCTGGGGATGTTGGAGTGAGCAGGGGATTCGGCTGAGGACCTGTTCAACACAGCGGTCCTGAAAATAGTTCACTTCTGCTGCGGTTGGAAATTGGGGCTTAAAAGTGGTGTTTGGGGGGTGCCTGGGTGGCTCAGTTGGTTAAGCAACTGCCTTCGTCTCAGGTCATGATCCTGGAGTCCCAGGATCGAGTCCCACATCAGGCTCCCTGCTCAGTGGGGAGTCTGCTTCTCCTGCCAACCTCTCTCCTCTCATGCTCTCTCTCATTCTCTCTCTCTCTCAAATAAATAAATAAAATCTTAAAAAAAAAAAAAAGTGGTGTTTGGACAAGTTATTTCGCAGGTAGGTTTATTTGTATACTAAGCTTTTCTGATTACCAACGTGGAATAAAGAAAGGAAAATTAAAAGAGACCAGGTCCTAGTGGGAGGGAATCTGGTCAAGACTAGAAAGAGCAGTCATTAGAGAAAGGTAATGTGCATGACTGGGTGACCGAGTAAAACCAGGCGGCCTGGGTTTCATGTAACTTCGAGGAATATAATAATTACCTGGAACTAAATATGCCTCAGAGGGTTCAGGTTAACTGAGAATCCACTTTTAGGACTTTTGTGAAGTCACTGGGGATAAAGACAAATAACTTTTAAAAAAATACATATTTATTTTTTAAATTCCAATATTTAACGCATAGTGTTATATTAGTTCCAGGTGAAGGCAAATACTTTCTTATTTATTTTTCTAACTGGAGTTTCAGTGAACGTTCAAAACTTTTTTTTCCCCTTTGTAGAGCTGAAGTCAGTTTAAAAATATTTAAGTGGTCTATGTATAGCTTCTTATAAAATTTACAATTGATGTATTCATTTTAAAATTTTATTCAGGCAGTGGTAAAAAGTTTACTAATAATTTAATGTTTAAAAAGTGTCCCCCAGTGTATTTCTTTAATGGTCCTCTCACTGCACAGTTTTGTTTTTGTTTTTAAGATTTATTTATTTATTTATTTATTAAGATTGTATTTATTTATTTGACAGAGAGAGAGAGAGATCACAAGTAGGCAGAGAAACAGGCAGAGAGAGGGGCGGGAAGCAGGCTCCCTGCTGAGCAGAGAGGCTGATGCGGGACTCGGTCCCAGGACCCTGAAATCATGACCTGAGCTGAAGGCAGATGCTTAACCCACTGACACAGATACAGGCGCCCCTGTATCTGAATTTTTAAATCTTTTTATTTCTCATCCAGCTTTCTTCCCTGAAATCTAGACTCTTGTTTTCTCCCTACACTGGACATCATCTGAATGTTGACGGGGCACTTGAAACTCCATGTTAAGAGACCATCTGGGTGGCTCAGTCATTAAACATCTGCTTCAATTAGGTCATGATCTCAGGGTCCTGGGATCCAGCCCCGCATCGGGCTCCCTGCTCGGCAGGAAGTCTGCTTCTCCCTCTCTCACCCCCCCTGCTTGTGTTCCCTTTCTCACTGTGACTCTCTCTGTCAAATAAATAAATAAATAAAATAAAAAGAAACTCCGTGTAATAAAAGTAAAATTCATCTCCTTTCGCCACACACGTTCTCCTTCCTCCTGTTTCTGTGACTGTCCTTGCCATCTGTTCCATCGCCATTGTTAAAAACCCAGGAGTCATCCTTGATCACCCCTTCCTGTCCTATCCGACTGGCCATCAGATTTGTTATTTTCGTTGTCTCTTCTACTTTATAGTTGTCTTCTCTACTGTTGTTCTAGTTCAGGCCCTCCTCATTTCCTCTCTGGGTTGTTGTAGTGACCTTTAAAAATATGCTTTTATAATCTGAAAAAGTTAATATATTTTCGTTATATGAAATGTTGAAAACATAGAAAAAAATCTAAATGAAATGAAGTTTCCCATAGTTCTGGGATACAATCACTACTAACATTTTAGTCTCTTTTTTCATGTCTATTACTTCTTACGTGATTGGAGTGATTCTGTATGTGCGTCCTTTTCTTTATGTGTCTCCTTACGATTCTCCTCTGTCCATATTTTTAATAACACAATTAATGATTGCCAAGAATTCAATTATAAGTAATAGCCTGGACTGGTCTCCCAGTCTACCTTCTGATCTTTTCTGGTTTACTCATTAATTTGATAGTTACTTAGATGTCCTCTACATACTCTATCCCTTCTGAAGTGATGAATCTAAAATGCAAATGTGATTATGAAATTCCCTGCTGAAAACTCTAGAGGGGCTTAAGAGTCAGGTTAGCACAGTGAGAGTGAATTCTGTTCAGATCTTAAAAAGGTAACTTTAACATTTTTTTTTATTTATAACCCTATAACTTTCTAAGCCTCAATCTCCTTGTCCATAAAGTTGGGATAATAAGAGTATCTACATCATAGAGTTCTGAAGATTGTTTAAAAAAAAACAACTTAGAATGGCACTTTGTACACAGTAAGTGCTCAATAAAAATGAGCGAATAAACCATAGCAGCTCAGCTTGTATCTGTTTTATTGATATAATTTTCAAGCAAGGTTTTATTTAAACAAAAGATGTCACTGATTTTAAAAATCAATCAAAGGAAAAACTTGAAAACCACAGGTCTAAAATACTTTCTCTAATATTTTCACCAATGTCCTGTTTTCAGAACAACTTCTGAAAAAGGGAACTCATTGTACCCTGAAGAATCTTAACAAAAGTTTTAAGAATAAACATGTACTGAAAATCCATGTCCCCAGTGGTTCCCTGTATACTGCTATATATCAGAGTTACCTGGGGTCTTTACAAAATACTGATGTCTGCCTTCCATCTCCAGGCATTCTGATTTAAATGGCTGGAGCTATGACCTAGACGTTGGGATTTTTATTTTTATTTATTTATTTTTTTAAGTTCCCTAGGTGATTCTAGTAAGTTTGGGAATGACTGCCGTATTCTCTTATGTTGAGGTACCAGAGGCTTATATGGAAATGTTTGGACTTCGCTATTCCTATATTGGATTTAAACCCTTATCTATTTTTCTCTTAGTAAATCTATTACTGAAAACTAGAGTTTGAGTTTCAGAAAATAATACTGTTGGGCTACTTCTTCATAGCAAGAAAAGTTTCATTAATTATTGCAAATATCTTGGGCTCTTTGAAGAACTTGGTATAGGGTAGAACAGGGGAGAGGTAAGAAAACACTCTGGAAGTTTGTCCTCATTACCATGGAATTGAAGCCTTTCCTCCTTTCTGAAATTCTAAAACAAAAATCTCTGCATTTTTTTCTGATTTTCTTTCTTGTGTTTCTTTTTAAAATACCTAAGTTATTAACAGAAGTTTTATCTCTGTAGCTGACTATTCTTTGACTTGATGAACTGTTTTTCCTTCTTCAAATCAAAACTGTAAGGTCATCTTGGTCTGTATCTTTATAAATGGCAGAAGGCAATCCAGCTCTCGTTTGAATATTTGAATGTGTTTAGTGTTTTCAGATGAGGTGAGAATAAGGGCAGTGATTATAAAGTTCATTCTTTTATATTCCATTTGTCACTTGAAATTCTAAAAGGTTAAGGAATTAGTAACACTGCCCTTTTCAAGATTTAAGCTCCTTTGAATAGTAATGCTTGAAACGGATCTAGTCAGTAAAGGCTAATAACTAAAGAAACTTTTGTATAACTCATTAGTCTGTGGAAACCATGTTTTGGGAACAACACACATCAATGCTGATATATTTGTTAAAGTATTGAGTATACTCCAAGGGTGATACTTAGGATTGTTTTGTTGAGTATCTAATTTTGAAAGTAAATTTAACCTCACACTTTTTGTTTTCTATTCTTCTCTCCCTCGTAGTGGCAGCATGGAGCCAGCATTTCATAGAGGAGATCTTCTCTTTTTAACAAATCGAGTTGAAGATCCCATCCGAGTGGGAGAAATTGTTGTTTTTAGGATAGAAGGACGAGAGATTCCTATAGTTCACCGAGTCTTGAAGATTCATGAAAAGTATGTGCAAACTGTATCTTCTCTGTTTTAAGATCTTTACATGTTTTAGTGTTTGCAGTGTTTAATTTTGATAACCTGAAGATTAAGAAGAGTGGGGAAAGCATAGGTCCTTCCTCCAATCCATTTTTATGACTATCTGAAGGTTTGGTGAACATTTGGAAAACTAAATAGTTATTCATTAATTCATTTATTTCTCTGAAGCTTTTTCTGGAAGTTTTTCTTGGTTTCCTTTTATTTCCCAACGAGATCCATAGCCCTGTGTATCACCCCCCAAAAAACTACATGAAGGTTGATTGTAAACAGAATCTTCTAATGTAATTGATGAGGTAGCCCTACCTAATCCTTAAAAAAAAAAAAAAAAAAAAAAAAAAAGCTGACAGACATATCCAATAAGAATAAATTTACCAACTTTTTCAAATTTCAAAGAAAAATTCTTTTTCTTTTAAAATTTTTTAAAATTCTTTTTTTTTCCAAGATTTTATTTATTTATTTGACGGACAGAGATCACAAGTAGGCAGAGAGGCAGGCAGAGAGAGAGAGGAGGAAGCAGGCTCCCTGCTGAGCAGAGAGCCCGATGCGGGGCTCGATCCCAGGACCCTGGGATCATGACCTGAGCCGAAGGCAGAGGCTTTAACCCACAGAGCCACCCAGGCGCCCCTTTTTCTTTTAAAATTTTATGTAATCTCTACACCGAACATGGGACTCAAACTCACAACCTCAAGATCAAGAGTTGCGCACTTCACTGACTGAGGGGAATTTCTAAATTCCAAAGAAAATTTCCAAAATCTGGGGCTCCTGGGTGGCTCAGTTAGTTAAGCATATGCCTGGTCATGATCCCAGGGTACTGGGATCGAGCCCCGAGTCAGGCTCTGTGCTCAGCGGGCAGCCTGCTTCTCTTTCTCTCCCTCTGCTGTTCCCCTGCTTGTATTCTCTCTCTCTGTCAAATAAATGAATAAAATCTTAAAAAAAAGAAAGAAAATGTTTAAAATCTAAGTTACTCTTTTGAACATAAACTCTTATATTTTACAGTTGGAAGGGCCATATATGAAACCTTTCGAATCACTTGGAGGTGGAGGTGGGGCGTAACAATGAGCAAAAAATCTCCCTCTCTGGGTCTGTTTCCGTATCCGCAATATTAAGAGTAGGAAGATGAATTACAACATCTGTGAGTTTGGAGCCTATGCTTCCCTATCCAACTCCATATTCCTCACCCCTCCCTTACAATTCTGTAGTATTTTTAGTTAAAGAAAACGTTCAGGAGGGAAGGAAAGAAAGAAATGAAGGAAAAGGTAAGTGTCCTGGAGGACACCTGGAGGGGAAGGGAAACAGTGAGGCAGTGATTTCACTTACTGAGAATGAGGGAGCCCTGAATAAACAGTATCTTATTCTTACCCCACCCTCTAAAGTCATTTATTTTCTCCACTTAGAGAAGAGGGAACTGTCAACTGTTTTTTTTGTTTGTTTGTTTTGTTTTTTTAAGATTTTATTTATTTATTTGAGAGAGAGAGAGCACAAGCAGAGGGAGTGGCCATCAGAGGGAGAAGCAGGCTTCCCGAAGAGCAGGGAGCTCTACTGACCTAGGGTTTTTGGTGATTTCATTTCAGACTCTTGAGATGCCTTCAACTTGCAGGTCTGCTTAGATGACAGCTGCAGTTAATATTCTGAAGCTTCCAATTTCTGTTTTTCTTTTGGGGGCACTAAATTTCCTGATTGTGAATATCATTTGATTTAGTAGTGTTAACAGTGTTCTTAAATACGAGACTAAGTAATGACCAGAATGGAGGAAGTGCTTTAGTAAATGTGCCCTGAACATTTTCAGGCTGATTTGTGCACTGTTACTCATTTCTTTCATCTGAACATTGTCTTAAGAAATAAAATCCTGAACTCTGAGAAGAAAGGTGAATCATTCAGCTGACCTGTCTCTTTGGTCTCATTCCTCCTTTCCTTCTCCACCTGCTTCTTATGTCCAATGCCTTTGTAAATTTGTAAATATCAGAAAAAGCTCATTTTTTCATATATTGACTCTCCATCTTGTAATAGTCTTATTATACAGCATATAATAAGATGCTATATAAAATTGGTAGGGCGCCTGGGTGGCTCAGTGGGTTAAGCCTCTGCCTTGGGCTTAGGTCATGATCCCAGGGTCCTGGGATCAAGTCCCGAGTCAGGCTCTCTGCAGAGCAGAGAGCCTGCTTCCCCTCTCTCTCTGCTTCTCTGCCTTCTTGTGATCTCTCTCACTCTGTAAAATAAATAAAATCTTAAAAAAATAAAAATAAAATGGGTAAATATAGCAACCAGAAATCACATACAACCTTAACACCCAGAAGAAATGTTAAGTTTTGGGTAATTCACTCTTTGTTTTATAAATATACATTTCCCCCCTGTATAACACCAGCAGGCAAGGTTACACATGCTCCGGCAGACAGCAGAACATCTCTTCTCTGAGTCCTTCTCCCCCTACCTGCTCTCTTGTTTTCCATTTTCTTCCAACAGAAACGAGTCAGGAAAGAGCTAGGACGTAGCGAGGTTTGTGTTTTCATTTAAGAGACGGCATCACTTTGAAATATTCTCAGTTTACTTAACTCTCTGGGGTAGTTCTCACATTAGCCTGCTAGTCAACTCCCTCTTAATGATGACGCTTTTCCTACATATAAATTCCTGCTTGATTTTGTAGTCCTCTCTGAGGGGCACTTACTAAATTCCTATTATGGTTTGATGATGGTGAACACTGGCATGTGGTCAAATATTTGGCAGGAGAAAGTTTGCAGTTGCGATGACTTAGTCCTCAGCTTTGCTCTTTCTGGGCAGAGAGAGAGTATGTTTTGCCCCATTTAGCTTTCTGGGTCTTACTTTTTCTTACCTAGAAAATGATTCATTCTTCCCTGCTAACATCACGGTATTATGATGGTTGAATTAAACTGCAAGCGCGTAGAGCTCCTTGGAGATGGATGGTATTGAATATTTGGTCCCCGTGGTAGCCGGGGGAACGCCCCGCGTGCGTGGGTCATCAGTCCGTGTTGGGGCCGTGAGCGGTGAAGTGCTGGGGTAGGTTTGACAGCGGCTCCAACAGGAGCCAGTGCCGCCGCTCCCTTTCGTAGACGGAGACCCTGCCTTTTCGCCAGCTCTAGTGGTGTCTCCCGACACCGCCCCGGAGCGGGGAGCTTGAGTGTGTGTGTGTGTGCACACGTGTGTGTCTCTGCCTTGTTGGCAGATCAAGTCTTTGAGGAGAGCCCCAGCCTCCTGGAGCGTCCCTGTCCTTTCCTGGGGAGCTTCTCCACCCCCCCCCATTTCATTTCGTGAATCTGACATTCCTGTTCTGCTTCCGTGGGCTCCGCTGCTGTTTTCCTGGCTCAGTGTGCTCTTCCTTCCTGGGCTCCTGCCTTTTGCTCCTGCTGCTTCCCCGCTTGGCACCTGCTCTCTTCCACTCTCCTCAAGTTTTCAGCCTCTCCTTCCCTCACTGAGTTGTCAGCTAAGGATTATTTTTCTCTGTATATATTTCCTTTTTTTTCTTTCTTTTTTTTTTAAAGATTTTATTTATTTATTTGACAGACAGATCACAAGTAGGCAGAGAGGCAGGCAGAGAAAGAGGAGGAAGCAGGCCCCCTGCTGAGCAGAGAGCCCGCTGCCTGCCGCGGGGCTCCATCCCAGGACGCTGGGATCATGACCTGAGCGGAAGGCAGAGGCTTTAACCCACTGAGCCACCCAGGCGCCCCTATATTTGCATTTTTTTCTAACTAGAATCTCATTTTAATGTGACTCTTTGCACTTAACCGTTTTTGGTGTTTGCAACACCTTCCGATTTGGTTTCATCTGCACATTTCATGTCTCGTGAGCCAGTTTCTGGCTTAGAATCTAAGTGGATGTTAGTAAGTAGGAGTCTGAGGTTAATTTTCTTCTTTGTGTAGTACTTAACCCAGACACACTTGAATTAGTTTTAAAGGTAGTCTTTATCAAACAGTAAAATGTACTCTGCTTTCAATTAAATTTTAAAATTACTAGAAACCTCCTGTTCTTTTTTTTTTTTTTAAGATTTTATTTATTTATTTGACAGAGATCACAAGTAGGCAGAGAGGCAGGCAGCGAGAGAGGAGGAAGCAGGCTCCCTGCTGAGCAGAGAGCCCCGTGTGGGGCTCGATCCCAGGACCCTGAGATCATGTCCTGAGCTGAAGGCAGAGGCTTAACCCACTGAGCCACCCAGGCGCCCCAACCTCCTGTTCTTTAGCAGAATTAAACTAATAATTTCCTGATCAAGTAAACTGCTTTTCCTAAAAACCCTGGCATGTAAAAGCAATGTATGGTTTTTGAAGAAAAAAATTAGAAGTAAAGGGAAAAGTTAGAAGCTAAAGAAAGCCATAGATGGCCACTGTTTATACTTCGGTCCATCACTTTAGATCTTTTTCACTATCTTATTTTTTCTTTTATTTTTTAAAAATTTTATTATTTGTCAGAGAGAGCGCATGCATAAGCAGGGGGAGCGGCAGGCAAAGGTAGAAGCAGGCCCCCACTGCGCAAGGATCCTGTTGTGGAACTTGATCCCAGGACCCCAGGATCATGACCTGAGCTGAAGGCAGACACTTAACTGACTAAGCCACCCAGGTGTCCCTCATTTTAGTTTTTAAATATGGAGAATTTCTGGGGTGCCTGGCAGGCTTAGTCAGTGGAGTCTGCAACTTACAATCTCAGAGCCATGTTAAGTGCCATGTTGGCCTACTTAAAAATAAAATAAAATATAAATAAATAAATAGAATTTCTAATGTGCATAGAAGTACACAGAACTGTATAATGAACTCCCATGTGCTCTCACCCAGTCCCAATAATTATGAATTTATGGCCAGGTCTGCCCTACTTTGACTACCACCGCTTCCCACTCTCCCTCCTGTATTATTTGGATCAGATCCTAGATCACGTCATATGTAAATATTAGTAAATATCTATATAGCATAAACAATGAGCTTTTAAAAAACATATAACTACATTGGGGCACCTGGGTGGCTCAGTGGATTAAGCCACTGCCTTCGGCTCAGGTCATGATCTCAGGGTTCTGGGATCGAGCCCCGCATCGGGCTCTCTGCTCAGCAGGGAGCCTGCTTCCTCCTCTCTCTGCCTGCCTCTCTGCCTACTTGTGATCTCTGTCTGTCAAATAAATGAATAAAATCTTTAAAAAAAACAAACAAACATATAACTACAGTTAGCATGCTTACACACCAAAAAAGAACAACCATACCTTTGTATCATTGTGTTTCCAATCTCTGTTCAAATTCCCAATTGTGTCATAGCTTTTTTTTTTAACAGTTTGTTTGAATCTAGATTCACTTAAAGTCCTTGGTTGCAGTTGGTTGATAAGGCTTTATAATCTTTTTTATTTAAGCTGTAAATTCTTCTTCCAACTTTCTTTGTTCCTCACAACTTGTTGAAGAAACTAAGTTATTCTGTCGTTTCCTTAGTATTTGTTGTGGATTATATCATGTGGGGTAGTTTAATGTGTTCCTTTGCTCTTTTGTATTTACAGAAAACTGGTGGTTTGTGTTTGTCTAAGTTTTTCTTCACTTAATAAATGTGTATTATCTTCCAGCGTCACTTAACTATTCTTCTGTGACACTGTCCTCAATGCTTACATATTTCAACTCCTGAATGTTAGACTTTCAGCTTGTTTCTCGTTTTTCCCTAGTGTAAACACAGCTAGGAACATCCTTTTAGCTAAGTAGATAATCATTTTGATATTCGGAATGATGATAAAATACACAGTGCCACAGCATTTTTGGTGCTGTGGAAATTTTGTGCTTGATGACCTGGCTTTCCTTCACTTTTATTTCCCCTTGCTCTTTTAAGGCAAAATGGACATATCAAGTTTTTGACCAAAGGAGATAATAATGCCGTTGATGATAGAGGCCTCTATAAACAAGGACAACACTGGTTAGAGAAGAAAGATGTCGTGGGGAGAGCAAGGGGGTAAGTATAGAGGGGAGCATTTACTGAGCTCTTCCGTGGCATGGGAAATGTGGCCCCCAGTCATATTGTTTGGGCACACACAATTAAATAAGACGTTTTGGTCCTGGTTCTACCAAATCACCTTGTGTCCTTTGAAAAAGCATACTTCTTAAAATGCATCTAAAACCGGGGGGATACTGCTCCAGAGGGTAGGAGATGGGGTACAGCAAAAGAGTAGAATATTAGTGATGAGATGATGGATCGGAGTGACAATTTAAAAAATTCATTTATTTAATTCATTCAAGAAATGTTAGTGGGGAAGAAAAAAGGAAATGTTATTGGGCACCCTCTTGTACTCTGAGTCTAAACCGTGCTGGTTTGGGGGTCTAGACCAGTTATTGATCCTGCTCCCTAAAATGTATTTCTTAAGTAGTTACTGAATCAGCAACTGAAAGTATTCATCTAAATCAATTTTACCATGTTTATTTCATACTGTTTTTATTTCTAGCCTTAAAATTATTGGGGGTCAAATGAAATTTAAAAGTTATATTAAGCCTGTTTATTTCAGATTTTATCAGGAGAACAGATCAGTGGAGGACAGGAATTGTAAGTTACTGACATGAGGACGTAATAGAATTGTTACTACCTTCATGTTATTAATAGTATTAACAATAACTCACACTTACCAGGGCTTCCTATGTGCCAGAGACTCATTCTAAATTCTTCACAAGTATTACCTCATTTTAACCACAAAACAACCCTAATATTTCCATTCTACAGATGAGGAAACGCGAGGTAGGTTGCTTATCTAAGGCCACACTGAAGATGGGTCCGGCCGACCCCGGAGCCCACCCTTACATAACCATCTCGCCAGAGTTACTGGTACTGTACTTCTGAAAGTGGAGAGCTGCTGGGTCTCACTATTCAGATGCCTCATGGGCTTTCACCCCCTGTCAGAACATCTGTTCCTTCTGTAGACACGGAATTCAGAGTGATTCTGCTAGAGATCAGGCCACTGCACTGAGCAGTTCTCCTCCCACAGAGAAGTCAGTGTGCAGTACTGAGTGAAAGCTGCTTCAGTTATGGCATGAGAGATGCTGGCTTGGGGCCAGAGAGGTAGGATCAGAACAAGCACCGGTGTGTTTTGTCTTTTCTTTTGTGTGCATACCTCCCGTGTTGGAGCTAAACGTACTTTTTAAATTTATTTTTAAGTAATGTCTACACCCAACACGGGGCTCAAGCTTACAACCCTGAGATCAAGAGTCACCTACTCCACCGACTGAGCCAGCCAGGTGCCCCAGACACTTTTATAATACAAATGAGATCATCAGTGCTTCGGAGAAATGATGCTCCCATCTTCCACAGTTCCCAAGATGCTGCTAATGTGATTATTCAGACTTGTCAGTCTCGTTGAGTCTTTTTTGTTTTTCTTTTGATTGTAATGTACACATTCACTTAGAAACATAAATAACAGTCATCTAAAAGTAAAGTCAGAGGGCCTCTGGATGGTGCAGTCAGTCAAGCATCTGACTTGGTTTCAGCTCGCGTCATGGGATTGAGCCCTGTGTCAGTCTCTGAGCTCAGCAGGGAGTAGGCTTGAGTTTTTTTCTCTCTCTCTCTAAAATAAGTCTTTTTTTTTTTTTTAAAGATTTTATTTATTGGGCACCTGGGTGGCTCAGTGGGTTAAGCCTCTGCCTTCTGCTCGGGTCATGATCTCAGGGTCCTGGGATCGAGTCCCACATCGGGCTCGCTGCTCGGCAGGAAGCCTGCTTCCTCCTCTCTCTCTCTGCCTACTTATGATCTCTCTCTGTAAAATAAGTAAATAAAATAAAGTCTTAAAAAAAAAAAAAGATTTTGTTTATTTATTTGACAGACCACAAGTAGGCAGAGAGGCAGGCAGTTAGAGAGGAGGAAGCAGGCTCCCTGCTGAGCAGAGAGCCCGATTCGGGGCTCGATCCCAGGACCCATGACCTGAGCTGAAGGCAGAGGCTTTAACCCACTGAGCCACCCAGGTGCCCCAAAATCTTTTCTTTTTTAGGCAAAGTGACAGCTCTCCTTCCCCTCCCCCTCTGTAAATATTCAACTTTTTGGTTTAGGTTCTTTTAGTCTTTATGTAAAGGATGCAGATAACGTATGTATGTATATATACATAAAGACATTTTATGTGTGAGGAGAGATAGTCACGTTGTTTATAACACTTTTTTATCCCCAAAGTTTTCAGTATTTTTACAAGTCAAAAGACATATCTCCATATCATCATTTTCATAGCTGTATGCTATTCCATGGAATGGATAGACCATATTTTTATTTAGCTGGTCTCCTATTGGTAGGTGCTTTGACTGTTTCTGTGTGTGTGTATGTGTGTGTGTGAATAATGTTATAATGAACATCTTACATCTCAGTGCCTCTGCCCAGTAATCATTTCTTCAATAAATTCACAGAAGTGGAATTACTGGGTGAAACCTATGCATACTTTAAGGCTTTTGTTAAATTTTAAAGTATGTTTTATTTATACTATAACCAGTATAACAGAGTGTCCCTTTATGTGGATCTTGATTCTTAGGTATTTAATCCAGTTCTGTCCACTCACTCTGGCCCCCTGTTTGGGTAGAAGATGCATCATGGGTAGAGGAGCCAGACTTTCACTCAAGTAACTCGTCTTTCTGAAGAATTTTTTTTTTTAAATCTCAAACTACATACAATATTATTTCTAAAATCCCAGCATTGAGGGGCACCTGGCTGGCTCAGTCTCAGGGGGGTGAGTTGGAGCTCCACATTAGGTGTAGAGATTACTTAAAAATAAAATCTTTACAAAAATAAAATCCCGACATTGAAAATATAGGTCTTTTTGTGGCTTTTAGTTAAAAAAAAAAAAAAGCAGTGACCTGGTACTGTCTGAGTTAAGTAACTTCCCATGAAGAAGTAGAAACGTCTGGGACACCCGTAGCTACCTAGCAGGAGCGCTGGCTCTTACCTGGGCAGCTCTGCGTCGATCATCCTGCCATTTACCTGGACACATAGCGGGGCACAGCACTGCCTTTGGCGGAGATTGTGTTTATAAAGCACAAACTGGTAATTCCAAGTCAGACTGTACCCACGCCTTGAGGATAGCTTTTCTGCAGACTGGTCTGAGACTGTGGTACAAGTGTCTTCACACAGTAAAAACAGATTTTTTCAAACAGTTGCAAACTAAAAAATTTTACACTGAGGCCTAAGGCCCTAAGTAAAAACAAGCTAAAACAAGTTTATTGAGATAAAATTCACATATATTAGGAGATAAAATTCACCATTTAAAAGTGTACAGTTCAGTGGGTTTTATTATATCCACAAGGTTACCCAGCTGTCAGCACTAATTTCCGAGCACGTCCACACCCCAAAAGGAAAACTCCATACTCATTTGCAGTCGCTCCCCATCCCCTTTTCCCTGCAGTCCCTGGCAACCACTCATCATCTCCTTTCTGTCTCTAGACATGTTCTCTAAATGGAAGCTCACAACACGTGGTCTTAATTTACGTCTGGCTTCTTTCACCTGGCATCTTGTCCTCGACTTTTGTTCATGTCGCAGTGTGTAATAAAAACAGTGTTAGAAAATGAAACTAATACTGAACCAGCTACGTATTGAAGAAGGGGTGATTCTTTCTCCGTTGAGAAGGTTGAAAACACAGGAGGAGCTGTTAGTGACAGAAAAGGAGCAGGAGGAGAAGAGAGTGAGAGGCCGGAGGCTGGGAACAGAGACTATTGACCAGGAGGAGAGACGCGCAGGAGAAGGAAGAAGTAGAGTCATTGAGCTCTCTGGGGACTAAGACCAGTTTTATGGATGAGGATTTTAAAATATGCCTTTTACTTACCTTGAAACCGATTATTCTGGGGTAGAAACAATGATCCTTTTCCAGTCAGCTCCCCGGGGTCCAGGCTTCCCAGATAGAGGTCCCTTCGACATCCGACCAAATTATTTTTTCCAAACATCAGCAGGTCGTTCTTCCAGCGGAGGCCCCTCCCTCACCAGCACCTCCCAGGGGCATGTGTTCCTCCGCACTCGGCCTTCTAGATGTTGACTGGGCCCGGGCTGCCGTTGGAGCTGCCTTTGTGGGCGGCGTGTTTGACTTCTTTTAACCCTTCTTCTGCTTATTGTCAACTCGCCTTTAGCAGACTTTCTCCAAGCAGAGTAGGAAAAAAGTGCAGCTGATTTGAATTGAAGGTGATAATGATGGCAGCGTCATGTACTTGATAAGCAGCCTTTTGCTGTCTCTGTCGGAGGAGGGAAATAGTGAGACAAATCATTAAATCTCTTCTTTGACTTTGGACTGCCTGTCCTATTAGTCACTTACATTCCTCCTAAAGACCCAGCTGCTTCCATTTCTCTTACAGTGGGGCAAGGGAAAACCAAGTTTAGAAGGGACAATGTTTCCATGGCTAACTCATGACCAGGCTGTGTGATCACGGGGAGCTCAAGGTTCCCGGAGCACGGGTACTGCGTGGAGGGAACAGCGAAAAGTCTCTCTCTGTGAGAGTGGCTGCTGGTTGATCATCAGACCAGAATCAGCAGCCTGATAGTGTTTTAGTAGAAATCACAGATACTTTTATAGCTTTTAGTCTGCGTCTTACCGTGAGGCATCTGCCTTCACCTTCTTAAATTAGATGACTTACGATCACTGAAAGCTACTGCTTTTATGAAGATCTCATAAGTGAGACAAATAAGTTCTTATATTACAAAGAAAAAATACGTGTTTAAAAACACAGAAAGCCCCCGTCTACCCTCCTAGAGCTTAGCTCTGCCATCCTGGAGGGACTGTCATTTTGCAGCTCTTAGAGGTTCCAGGGGTTGAAACCAAAGCATGGGTCCTAGGAGGGGATATTATTTGCCACCACATGCCTGCTGCAGGCATCCCCCAGCTAGAACTGAGCTGCTGGTGCTGTCGTGTGCAGAAGCATTATTTGGGCCCCACTTCCACAGATGCGCTGACTCAGTAAATGTGAGGAAGATACAGCAGTCTGCATTTGTAACAGGCTCTCCGAGTGGTTCTGACAAAGGAGGCCTGGTTTTAGGAAACATCAGCTTATGGAATGGAAGTTTGGGGATGCGGAGAGGTGGTTGGTGGCGGGGAGGGGATGGTCTGGTAATGCTGCCAGAAGGGAGAGGGGCAGGACGGGGTGAGGACAGGAGACAGGAAGTAAGAGGAGTTCTTCAAAGGAAGGAAGTGCACCAAAGACAAAATTTCTGTTTTTCAAGCTTGCCTAAGGCTTTGATGGTAGAGGTGTTATGTGGGAGGTGATTTCTGTTTGTGCACCTTTGGGACTATGGTACACAGGTTGTGGATGCCCTGAATAGAAATATCTGGGCTATTTTAAAGTATGCGAAGTTCCGTCTTCACTTCAGCCTGCCCTCCCTCCTCTAGGACAAGCTCTAGGTCAGCATCACTGGGCCTGTTCTAGAGTCCAGCAGGAAAAGAGGAGGAGAAAGAAGGAAGTTGTGCATTTGCTAACTGCCATTTCCTCCCACAGTGCCAGTACCCTGCTAACCTTTCCTTTCCCCCCTGAATTCTTGCGAGGTCGAGGAGTGTTTTCTGTTGGGCGGGAGAAGTGAAATGCAGGAGTAAATGAGATCTCCAAGGGAAAGGAAGAGAAGAGGCCTGGACATCCAGACATTCTGTTGGGCAGTGTTTACCAGAGGTCTGCCGTGTGCAGGGTTACACCAAGCCTTGAGGATACAGTGGGAGCAAGACTGGCGTCGTCTTTGCCCTTATGGAGCTTAGAGTCGAGTCAGAGGGACAGACACTGTGCAGTTAGTTTTGCAACCAGTTACGCAATTTAAAAAAATGTGATAAAGACTCCAAAGGAAATATATCTGGTGTGTGAGATTATTTAACAGATGGTTTTATCTTTTTCGAGTTTAAGGGGATAAACTTTAGGGGCAAGGAGAAAGAAAGAGCTAGTGAAAAACACAAAGAGATAGCAGCCAAGAGGTAGGTGGAAAAATAGATTTGTGGGGTGTTCAAGAAACCGAGGAGGGAAGGGATTTCAGGGGAAGTTTGTGGTCCTCAAAGTCAAATTCTGCAGAGATGAACGGGAAGACGGGAGGCGAGACTGGTCTACTGCATGCGGCGATTTAAAGTGTTCCGGAAGTTTGGGATCAGGAGAGCCAGAGCCAGATTACAGGTGGCTAAGAAATGAGAGGGTAGCGAAATCTTAAGTACTATATGGAGCTCTTACGCTCACTTCTTAGACGCTTAACATTGAAGTACCTTGTAATGATTGGGCTGTGTTTGCCTTGTCGCCCCAGCTACGTTGCCTGCCCCTGGAAGGTTATGACAACAAACCCAGCCACGAGCACTGAATCCGCGTGTAGCCTGAGAGTCCCCATCGGGAGGCCCGAGACCTTAGGTCTGGTACTGGTCCTCCTGCACCGAAACCACGTACCTCGGGCACGAGCATCTGTTTCCTCATCTGTACAATGGTGATATTCCTAACTTCCCTGTCACATGAGTGGTTGGAAGGACCTAATAGGAGAGTCTGCACAAGTGGACTCGGTAGACTGCAAATCCGTTTCCGCTGGAGACACTGAGACTGTTCTGTAAATGAGACTGGCTACAGGGGAGTATTGTGATGACCCGTTTTCTGTTTGCTTGTCTGTTTAGATTTGTTCCTTATATTGGGATTGTGACGATCCTCATGAACGACTATCCGAAATTTAAGGTAAGAGCCTACATTATACGGTTCATTAAACATGCGCTCCTTTTCTTCCTTTTGGAAACTGTCACATGGGTTACAGACGGATCGGTTAGTTTAGTAATTGGTCACGGTCACAAGAGCCAGCTCATGACTGAACTCTGAGGACTTGGACACTTGGAAAAGCTTCCCTGACCTGCGTTCTGTTTGTTTTCTAGTATGCAGTACTCTTCTTGCTGGGTTTATTCGTGCTGGTCCACCGTGAGTAAGACGTCTGCGTCGCTGTTCCTGGAAGATGCCGTACTTTTCGTTCCTGAATGTTTGGCGTAGATACTGGGCTGTGATCGGTGGAGTGCAGCTCGCACCTGTCGGCGCTTCTGGGTAGCAACGTTTGCATTAGTTTCTGTTTCCACGCCAGGGCCCATGTGGGCAGGTGCACGGGCACCGCGGCGCGCACTCGAGGGGACTCTCAATCACAGGATTTCATATGTTGTCATTGTCACCCTTTCACATTTTTGTACATCAGTGAATTTTTTATATTAAAAGGTTGAGCCAAAGCCCCCAGTGTTTGTATTTTGAAGCCAAGCTTCACCTCTAAAGTGCCTACAGAGTTCTGGAAATGGAAAACGCAGCTCTGCACGAGTTTGGAACCGTCATTCCTCCGTATAAGGTGGGAATGGCATATACGGAGGTGGTCGTAAGTCTTAACTTTTCAAATTTTAAATAAAAGACTTTGCATATCGAACCCCTTATCCCTGACTTGTGTTTGTCGGGAAAGCTTTGCCTTCTGGTTCGTAGCACCCTTGGGGGGAGATAAAGGCTTTGATGTGTGCAGTCCTTCAGCTAAGAACGTTGTCCTCATTTTAACAACTGGTTTTTGTTGGTCTGTTTTTGTTTTTGTGGAGCAGAAATGGCTGTTGGCGTTCATAGGAAATCTCTTAGCCATAAAATGGATTCTTTGCCGGGGTGCGACTGAGATGTGTAGAAACGCAGTTAGTGTTGCTGAAAGGTTCAGAAAACCTCACTGTGCTGTAAAGGCTTCTCTCCTTTTCTGCACTTGAGACACTCTCAGTCCTTTCTACACGATGGCAGTGGTTTTCAGCATATGGAGAAAGCAGGAGGAAAGTGCTAGGAGGCGAGCGAGCTACTTGCTTTTTAAAAAACTCTCATTTGCCAAAGCCTGTTCTCCTAAGTGCCTGGCTTCACTTTTCCCTCGTGCAGACTTGGAGGAGGAAAAGTTTAAAGTAGTGAATGCAAAGCCCAGCTGTGTCTTTCTTCCTCTCATATTGAGGCAGTTAGGGAAAGGGCCAGTGTAGAGCAAGCCAGTGTGTTTTAAGTACAAAATACTCAGGATTCTTTTTGTTCTCGTCTTGTATTTAATGTGAAACCTGGAAGTAAGCAGATTTTCTGTGTTGGGCTAAGTGAGCCGCTTCTGTTGTTTGTTCAGCTGAGTGAAATCAGCTGAAGTGGAAATCGGTCCACACTTGAACGCAAATGGAATCAGCATTAAAACATGGAGACAGTTTACAGCTAAGAACAGTTACTCTTACAAAGCTCTCCCACGCAGAGAATAGTGCCATCCGACATCCCTTAACTAGGCGTTAGCCTTTAAATTCTGGATGTGGGCTCTGAATGACCTCAACCGAGTAAGGAACTTGGCCCATTAGGCTAGCGAGTGCTTCTTTGAGCCCGCCTGTGAGGCTTGTACTGTACTGAGATTTTCTCAGAGCCGCGGAGTGTGGAAGCAGTCCCCCGTGCATAGAATGGCAGAAAATTGCTACTCTCTCCATGTTTTCCCTCCTAATCACCTGCAGAGGGTGGGGCTAACCGCTGGGGCTAACCGCTTGGCCTAACCATCCTCGCTCTGCTTTTGCAGCAACCTTTCTGGGGCTTGTCTGGAGAAGTCGTGTGCTTCGCTGCCCGGTGTTGGGATCCTGGGGGCTTTGTGATTCTAGCTTGCCCGACCCGTACTTGTATCCTCAGCCATCCACATTTCTGCTCCGTATACGCTTGAAACATTAAATATTTTCCTCATTTGCATATTTTCACACCCAGTTTTGGTTTTCCTCCTTTGCTGGATGCTCTCATTGGAAGCAACAGCTAAATTTTTCTGAGAAGTAATCAAATACTCAGAAATATTTGAATTTCTCTCTTAGCCAAAAATAAAGATTATTTTGGGAGAGAGATTTTATGTTGTCAGTTTTTATATTGTCTGGTTTAGTGCTAAAACCTAAGACTTACAGCTGGGCAATTTTTTATTAGTAAATGTAATGTGTTTTAAAAGCTCTTAGAGAATGTAAGACATGCCAGAGATGTTCGATTTGGTGTGGAATGGAATTATACGCTGAGATATGGCTGGGCCAGTGGGAAGTTGGGAGTGCCACTGTGAGTGTCGGGGATTGAGGAGAATGAGGACCGATAAAACTGCAAGTGAGAATTTGATCATCGCATGGTCTCTGGGCTGTGACTCTTCCACTGTCCTCACTCCCAGGGAGTAAGGCTCTGCGAGTTGTTTGCAAATGCCTGTCCTCACTCCATCTCTGTCTCTCTGTTCTCTCCGGACACTTCTACTTGATTGTCCCCTCTTTCAACTGACGCTCATGGCAGTACCTGTAAACGAACCCTCCCTATTGCACCTCTTCTTTGACCCCATCAAATGGCAAAAACCTCTCCTATGCAGGGGCCCCGTTCTGTAGACACCGTACTCTGTTGTCCCAGAAGCGTCTTGTCGCACGTACTACATGTTCTGTATAACCAGAGGCAGTAACTTAGGTGGGCGTTATTTTTTTTAATTTTTTTTTTAAAGATTTTATTCATTTATTTGAAAGACAGAGATCACAGGTAGGCAGAGAGGCAGACAGAGAGAGAGGAGGAAGCAGGCTCCCTGCTGAGCAGAGAGCCCGATGCGGGGCTTGATCCCAGGACCCTGGGACCATGACCCGAGCCGAAGGCAGAGGCTTTAACCCACTGAGCCACCCAGGCGCCCCATGGGTGTTATTTTTTTAAAGATTTTGTTTACTTATCTGAGTGAGTGAGAGAGAGCACAAGCACAGGGAGAGGCAGAGGGAGAAGCAGACTCCCTGCTGACCAGGGAGCCCGATCTGGACTCGATCCTAGGACCCCGAGGTCCTGACCCGAGCCGAAGGCAGACGCATAACCGACTGAGCCCCCCAGGTGCCCCAGTAACTTAGGGAAGCATTGTTGTTGAGCTCTCATGCGGGAGCAGAGCATATGAATCATTAAAGTGATTTGCCCTTTCCTGTTATTTAGTAAGTACATTATCTCGGTCTAGCCAAGGGTGATTCTGAAAACTTTCTCCCTGTGGTTCCATTTAAACAGTGTGTTCTCTTTCTAGAACTTTTCGTGTTAACCCTGTTTTCTTCCTTTTTATGTGTGTTCTTGGACTCTTCCTGCCTTCTCTTTTTCAGTGGGAGAAATATTGGTGGTTGTCACTTTTCTTGGGCTGTCCCAGGTTTCTCAGAGAACTAGGCTTGAAATAAATGCTCTCTGGGGTGTCTAGGTGGCTCAGTTAGTTAAGTGTCTGACTCTTGATTGTGGCTCAGGTCATGATCTCTGGGTGGTGGGATCGAACCCCGCATTGGGCCCAGCAAGGAGTCGGCCGGAGATTCTCTCTCTCCCTCTCTGCCCCTCCCCCCACTCGCTCGCTCTCTTTGTCTCTCTCTCAGATAAATAAATATTTAAAAGTAAATAAATAAAGGCTCTGTGATCCTTAAGTGCATTTCTTGGTCATTTGCTTTAGTGTGTTACCAAGTCCATACGGCTCCTAAGAACAACGTGTGGGGACTCTCTCAGCAGCTAAGGGCACCCTTCTAAGAACATTTATCACTCTGTTGAGCTTCCGAAATGATCCAGCTGATTCTGGGTGACTAAATAGATGTCTACCTTCCTCAAGCTGCTCCTTCAGTCGGGATGGCCTATTCAGACTGTTTCGGGCAAGGTAGATCTTTGGTACTATTCTCCCTTACTAGAACTGTTAAGTAATACCAGATAGACTTTTAGAAATAAACAACAAATATGACCCTTTGCACACAAGTGTTGGGTGAATCTGGGTGTGAAAGGAATTTTGTGTGACCAAGATGTGTTAATTAAAGGCTAGAATGTGTAGGAGTTACCCGCCCCCCCGCCAAAAAATAGTGAGGACACTGCCTTCTAAGTGTCCTGTAGCATCCTAGGCCCTCGGGACTTTTCCCAGCCTCAGCTCTCTGCAGACCCCACATTCTCATCCCGTTGACCTTGGTCTCACTGTACAGACACCAAGTCTTCGCTTATGCTGGTTGCTCTGCCCGGAGTGTGTGCTCACTTCTGTACCCGCTGAAAGCTTTCTCATCCTACAGACACTTACTAAGCATCTCCTCGGTGCCAGATTCTGAACTAGCCCCTGGGGGACAAAGATAAGGAAGGCACAGAACTGCTGGGATCTCCGTGCCTTAACTGGGGCAGCACGTAAACAGGTTTTTTCCATATAGGGTCCTAAGTGGAGTGACAGATGCACAGGGAGCTCAGAAGATGAGGGTGTTTATTCTCAGCCAAGCTCTCCAGTGTATGGCACTTCCCACAGGATCTGTCAGGACTCGGAGTGGTCTGTTTCCTGTGGGGCCCATACCCCGACCGGCTCCTTGAAGGCGTCAAGACACGGCCAACCTCTGGTTCAGGCTTGTATATCCTCTAGTCCCTATCCCAGTGCTTGGCCCATTTTAGATTTATTTATTAATAAATAAATTGTTCCAGAAAAGGATTTGGAGCAGCTCGTAAAGACACGTCTAGTACTCTGAGATAAGATAAAATAATTGAAGAATCTAAGGTTGAAGTAAGTGTGGGAGGAAAAAAAGATGAAGTCAACGGTGAGGTTAGCGCCCACAAGACACATCAAAGTTCTGCGTCCGCTGGAGGAGATCCATAGTGTTGATTTTCAACTCCTTAGGGGCTAATGTGAAGAGGGAAACCATCATTTCTATGCCTTATGGAATGGGCCTAAAATGGAATTAACAAAAACCTTATAATGATACCCAAGAACCAAGAAATTCTCTCCTGGGACCTCATTGCAAGGGCACTGTGTGACATCCTGCCGTAATCTCTGTGTTAAGTAGCCTGCTGGTTTTCATAGATTTCCGAGAAGGTTCCTTTAGTGTAGGTGTAGCTTGGCAGCTGCCACAGAGGACCGCCTCAACACAGCCCAGCCACCCATCTGTTCACACAGGAACCACCAAACGCCTGTCCTGTAGAAGTGTTTGTTTGTTTTAGATTTTTTTTTTAAAAAATGTATTCATGTGAGAGAGAGCGAGCGAGCGCAAGCAGTGGGGAGGGTCAGAGGGAAAGGAAGAAGCAGACTCCTGACTGAGCAGGGAGCCCGACTCAGGGCTGCATCCCAGGACCCCGGGATCACAACCTGAGCCAAAGGCAGGTGCTTAATGGACTGAGTCCCCCGGGCCCCGCCCCCCCAAGAACTGTGTTCCTTAATCTTTCAAAACTCATTGCCTCTCTTAAGAAACCTAAAATCTGAGAGACTATGGACTCTGAAAAACAATCTGAGGGTTTTGAAGGGGTGGGGGGTGGGAGGTTGGGGGAACCAGGTGGTGGGTATTGGAGAGGGCACGGATTGCATGGAGCACTGGGTGTGGTGCAAAAACAATGAATACTGTTACGCTGAAAATAAATTTAAAAAATTAAAAAAAAAAAAAAAGAAACCTAAAATCTACTTCTTCTCCATTCTCACAAACTCTCCCT